CTTGAATATTACGATAAACCATAATGATGACAAAGATTGAAAAAAAGTGTTTTTCATAAGCAGGTTTAATGTTTTCATTCTTTACGTACTTTTCGCAATTTCTTGACTTGCAGCTAAGTGGCTCAGCGGCAAGTCTGAAGGCTTAAAACGCTAAAAACCGAGTTTCGACATCCGTAGTGGGCACAGCAGTGATAGCCCATTGTGTAGCTTTGCGCTTAGCAACAAACAAACAATTATCGACATGCGTACTTCAGAGATTTGTTATTATATAATGAAGTTTTATGTTAGCATATTTGAACTTGTTATTATTTAAAAATCATACTGTATTCACGTTGCCAACAGCGTTCAGAGTTGTTAGGTAGCTCAACTTGGGATATGATTTTTTTAAAGTTGAAATTCGCTCATTCTTGAAATACTTGTAATGTGGTTAATAATAAAATATGCCCTGATCCAATTAGTTCAAAACTACCTGTTATCGAAAATAGGATAACATATAAAGTCCTTTGAATTCGCTTTAATTTTACAATAATGTTGCAAATGTGTATTGCCAAAAAAAGTCTGGCTATATTGCAACCCCATAATTTTCCTTGACCTATTAACTAAATCACCCACGACATGAGGAGTCCTTAACGTGAAATTCCGTTGAAAGTTTAATGTGCATACCTTATTATTTGTGGATTCTATAAACAGGTCAGTGTTGTAGCAGCTCAAACGTTTATCACAAGACCTACCATCTAACCATAAATATCTAACATACAAGGTGAAAGTTGAATGAGTTTTTCTTTCTCAGACCGGTTTGCCAACTTGCTTCGCACCGAAGATTAGTGAAAGAAAGTTATACAAGAGTCAGTATCACGATTCCGAGAAAGTGATCCTCTCAGCAAGATAACAGAGTATATTGAAGAGCCAATGCTAAATGTTTTGTATTGGTCCTATCTAGTATATCTCGTAAAAGTACAACAATTCTTTTGTTTGATGTGTTGGTATTTTATTGGCCGATGTTGAACTATACTTTACCGCCTCACATATGATATTGTTACGTCTCTGGTCGTTTGTTAATTTCCCGTAAAAATTCTTCCCGGGGAACTTCAGCGATACAAGTCCTTTCTTAAATAAAACTAGTTTATTCTTTCTGAATACAACTTTGCAATACATAGAATTTCCACAGTCACTTTAACTTAAACCCGCGCTATAATTCACAACGATCCACGCACTTTACTTACGGTCACTACCGATCACTTGACTCAATTATCTGTCTCTATATAACTGCAATTATTCTCTCCGCTTTATTTGCTGGGCTTATATATTAAAATAGAGGGCGTCTGGCAAACACTCGAGCCTTCTAGAAATTCATCACGTGTTACCAGCGTCACTTGACTTCCGCTGTCGTAACAATATGTTGGTATTTTATTGCCCATTGTTGAACTATACTTTACTGCCTCACATATGATGTGTTGGTATTTTATTGGCCGTTGTTGAACTATACTTTACTGCCTCGCATATGATGTGTTGGTATTTTATTGGCTGTTGTTGAACTATATTTTACTGCCTCACATATGATGTGTTGGTATTTTATTGGCCGTTGTTAAACTATATTTTACTGCCTCACATATGATGTATATGATATATACAAGACCAACTAAATTCGAAAGCCTTAATGGCTGGTTTTGATGTAGTGTAACTCTTCACCGAAGTCCCCGCTAATGAAGCTTGTAATATTGCAATCGACCTCTACATTAATGACCCCAACAAGGTAACCCACATTCCCAGCACACTTTTTGTTTCTCTCACAATTTACAACAACTAAAACCAACTTCATTTTCAACAACGAATATTTCCTTCAAATAGATGGTTTAAGTATGGGCAATCCTGTTTTGCCTGTTCTTGCCAATATATTTATGACCCAGATCGAAACACAAGCCATTCATTCTGTGCTTCATCCCCCACTATACTGGTACAGATATGTTGATGACACTTTTGCTGGTTTCACTTCTATACAACACACACTAACTTTCTTTGAACACATAAACTCCATTCATCCCAACATCAGATTTACCATAGAACACGAAAACAATAAACAGTTATCTTTTCTTAACCTCAACATTATTAGATCGGACACACAGTTTAGAACCAAAATTCACCGAAAGAACACACACACACACACCGGCCTCTACATTCCCTGGAATTCGGCTTATGTCACCAGAATAAAATCAATACACTCAAAAACCTCATAAACTCAGCCACAAGACTTTGTTCAAATCAACCACATAAATCATTCCTTCATTCACACCAATAAATTTCCACCAGCTATTGTTGAAAAACTCTCCGACATTCCCCACAACAAAACTCAACTCACGAACAAAATTGATACTAACAAAGCCAACAACAGAACATTAAACTGCAGTTTACATTTTGTCCCTGAAACCAGCTCAAGGATTATCCACACTTGGACAAAACAAGCCATTAAACACAATATTTCTGTCAACGTCAAATTCTCTCAAAAACCCTGCCGTAAATTAAAATAGTTACT